GAGCTGCAGCAGCGTGGTCAGCTTCGTCTATGTTACGTGGCCACTGAGGCCAACACTGCTGATGTGTTCACCAAGGCGCTTCAGCCTTGTAACCATCAGCGCTTCTGTACTCTTCTAGGCCTTGTGCCTGCTGGACCTCACTTGCTTACTTCTTGACTCTGCTTGTACTGTGATCTCTATATATATACTTGCATGCTTACACTTGCTAGGTTGTGATCACTGTACCTCTTGTTATATTATCAAACTGCATGTGAACTGGTCTTGTGACCGCTTGCTTGTGCTCGGAATTTGTGTGGTATCCTTGAGATCCACCCTGAGCTTGTCTTGCTTTGCTTTGCTCTGACTGGTCTTGTGACCCTCTGGTTATCTCCCACTTCGCCTATGGGGGTGTGTCAAACATTGTATGTTTATATTGTGTAGGCTTTAGTGGGTTTAGCCTTAGAGGGTACACAAACTTAGGGTTTCCCACTTGTACCCAACTTCCTGCTAGTTCTTTCATTCCTGTTCCTTTCATTTCGACACCACCCAGCCTGAGCACAAGCAAGCGGCCACAAGGCCAGTTCACATGCAGAGTAATAAAATCACAAGCAGTACAGTGATCTCAACTAGGGCTGACGTTTCAATTTAGGCCTCCCTGAATCCGGGGAATTCCCCCCCCCCCCCCTATATTATGGGTGCATATTCTTCAATAAGACATAACCTTGATTCAGGGCCTCAGATTCGATTTTGGCCTGTCTGATTCGTCAGACTTGACTACAGTTTTAGTTTGAAAATCTCAGAGTTGGTATTTAAAAAAAGCTGAAATATTAGAGTCTGAACATTTAGAATCAACCTTACTGAGAAGTCTGATCTGTTTGTAATTCTGTTGGCCTTCGTTGAGCTACATTAGATTGGCCTACAAAGTACAAGCACCCTAACTACAACATTAGACCAGCCGACATTAGACAACCTTACTACTAATTCTACATCCTACCTATCTAAGTTATCATAATCATCATATCCATCATCATCATCATCATCATCACTGTCAGATGCATCATTCTCCTCTCCTATGTCTTCAACTTCCATCACTTCATCTACCTCCTTCTGTTGCTTTCCTGCAAAAGGGAGTGGAGCGTTGCTGTGGGGCTTGCGCTTCTTGTAGCTTCTCCACACGGTTACGATCTTCTCCCACTTGTATTCGTAATCCATGAGACTCATGCACATGAGGTCTCCAAGGCAGCGAGTCTCTCTGCCACGACTTGATAATGTTATGCCTGGAGAACCCCTGACCGCACTCCACGATGCCCAGCGGCAGTACAGCTACCGCCACCCACAACAGCACGAGGCTGGGGTAGTTAGCCCGCCAGTCAGGTGTCTTGAGCATGGCTGTGAGCCCCGTGTGGAAGCTGCGCTCGCCCTTGGTAGATGCTGCAAGCACCGAGGTGAACATGCGCTGCTCCTTCTGTGCACGGCGCTTGTTAACTCCTGGCGGGGTAGGGAAAAGGATAACAAAAGAACAAAATGAGAAAACAAATACATACACTGAAGCGTCGCACATAATACAAACAGAGCAACGCTGCAGTATGATATAAGAACCACTCAATAGACTCACCTGGCAAAATCTCTTCCGTCAGCTCGGCCTTGAACAAAGTCACAAGCGACTGTAGCCAATGAAGGCACGTGCAGTTCCTCCTCCTCGATCTAGTGGGTACTCATGTGGGATGAACAGTTTTGCCCTAGACACCCCATCCAGGTCACCAAGCCGATGCTCAGTCGGTGAACGATCACCTCCGCGAACTCCGTGCAGACCTCCATGCAGCCATCGTGGGTCCCGGGCCCATCAAACTCCTCCAACTCGTCCTCATGCAGCCTGAAGGTGAAGCGTGCAGGACGGCCGTCCGACTCAACCCCTTCGACTTTCACCTCCTGGCTTCCTCCTGGCCCATGGCGCGCGATGAAGGGGGACAGCAGCTCGCTCACACCGCCATCGAAGTCGTCGCCGCAATCAACGTAGCGGCTCTCGATGTGGGACGTTGTGAGCTTGATCTGCGCATGCACGCTAGCATAGTCAAGCTGGACAGAAACAGGAAGGAAGGTGGTTTGTGGCTGGTGACGGTTAACATGCAGGATTATAGCAGAATGCCCACTGTGACAAAACAATAATGACGGGAAACTATGAGCCATCTCACCTCCTTGTGCTGGAACGCTTCAGGATGTTGAGCTGCTGAAGCACATCAGCAATAAAGAAAAGAAGGAAATGAAACCTGTAACTCGTCACGAGAGCATTCAGCTTCACGTCCCACTCCTTCAGCATCACGATGAGAGCCGGAAGCACAGCGACAAGCCTGAGCACTACGTCGCCCCAAGAAAGCCAACGAACGACATGAATGCCCTGAAGCTCAAGAGAAGTGGACGCGAAAACTTCCTGGAGCCCCATGAACCGTTGGTGCCATGGCCCCGAACGACCGAGATGCTCTGCCACGGTGCTCTTCATGAAGAGGATCAAGTGCTTCCTGCTGCACCTATCCGTGCTCGCGTCAATCGCGATGCTGACGAAGGGTGATGCCAGCACGTGTTCTAGCTGGGTTGTCTGGAGCCATGTCGCAGTCGCTTGAGTCAGCTCACTGCACATGGAAACAATAGTGAGCACATTATTGTAGGGATAAAACTTTGAAACACCGATGTATATTAAATAGCTTCCAGCACTTGCACTCACGTGGTGTAGTAGGTGCCGTACCCCTTCTTTGGGAAGCCAGGCACGCCCTTCTTTGCCAGGTAACGCACCAGCTTCAACCACATCCCTATGGGCGCGTCGGACCTACTGATGAACAGCAACGAGTCGAGAAGGGCGACGACACGTTGCTGCTCTCCGTCCACCGTGGTGCGATGTTGGTCGATCTGTAGCTGCCTCGCACCGCACTCCTGCACAGCTGTGAGTCTCGCCATCGCCAGCTTGTGCTTCGCCGTGCCAGCGTGCTTACGAAACGACTGGGTCTGCAAGTCCGTGGCGCCTTTTCCGCGCCTCCCGCACTTGCCTCCGTCGCCAGCATGAGCTGCACAAACAGTACACTTAAAGGCAGGCAACCCCGAGGTGGTTTTAGTGATTTGAAGCCAGGAGAAACGTGTTTGCCAATGACTCTTGAACTTGTCAATTGCATCATCGTAGAGTCCTTCAATGAGCTCGGCCAGGTTTATGGTGAGGCGAGGACGCGGACGCTCAGACGAGCCGGAAGAGTTGTTGATGTCAGCAGACGAGGATGAAGGCTTTGCGAAGCTCAAGGTCGCCTGCTTGAGCCGGATGGTTCGCGCCGTGGTCTGAGTGGGATGGTGCGAGGCCGAAGCGAAAGTTGGTTCCGCATCTGTCTCTGCCACAGGGTCGGGATTTGAGATAACGGGTGCTGAAGGTTCCTTCTGGGTGGGGATAGTATCGGGCTCGGTGCGTGCTGCCTTCTCGAGTGCTAGATGACTGAGCAAAAAAACTAAGCCTGTTAAGGCAGGTTGTGAATCAGGATCGTCATCGCTAAAGGCGGGATTGTCGGGCTGAGCCATGGCGGGGATCTGAGAGAGCCTGCCGAGCAGGAACGAGAGGTGGTTTTGAGGCTGCTGAAATGGGCACTAGATGGTCCCAGTGAGTTGAAGCTGAGCTGAAGGGTGTGGATAAAACCCTAGCTCGTAGAGGAAGCCCCTCTAACCCACTATGGGCCATCCATGAGTTGGGTGGGTGGTTGCCTGGCATGCACGGCAACGACGAGGCGCGTCTGCCATGCAATGCTGTGAGGAATGTTTCGTGCGTGTATGTTGCAGCATCGTGGTACACGAATTGGTGGAGTAAGGACCAATCAATGCTCAGGGTGTGTGCCAACAGGTCTTGTTGGCACCGTCTGCTTGCCATCACCTTAACGTGGGTGGCAACTGCAGCAACATCTTGGACAATGGTGGTGGTGTAGTTCGTAATGGCAGACAAAAGCTGCCAAACGGACCAATCAGTGCTCTAACAGGGTGTGAGCTGGAGCTTACACCGAGGGAAACATCGCGCCGCAAGGCGGCATCGCCCACAGAACTACGGTAGACAGTTGTCACAGATTTCGCGTGATTGACGGTACAGATACAATGTACCACCACTAATCTTGGGTGTCGACGCACAGGAACATTCAATCACAGTCGGTACTCGTTTGTACTCTGAATGTTCTGAGTACTCTCCCAAAATCCTAAGAAATTCCTTAGTCTATAAAAAAATCTGTTTTGTACAGAGTTGAAAAATCTGGCCATAAAAAATACGAATTTTGCAGAGTACACCCTAAAAAAATTCTGAATTATCAGACCTATTCATGCATATCAGAGAAATTTCTCTGACTTCTGAGGGTTCAGGGTCACTCACGCTCTGGCTGTACTGCGAACAATCCGAAGGCTGGGTTATCGAAAGGAAATTTGAGAAACTTCCTCTCGATTAGGTCAAATTCGGGGTCCACAGAGTCCATATTCAGGCAGGGTCCTCTAATAGAATAGTCTGTTACACTATACTCCGGATATGAAATATATTACTCTGATTGGATCTGGGTTGAGTTAACAACTCATTAATTCTGAAATTTCAGTCTCCATAAAGTGGAAAGCCTGAAATCGCCCTGAAATCAGGGTAACTACCCTTATAAAAACAGCCCTTCACAACCTAGCAACAGCAACCATGCAGAAAATGGGGAGCAGCTGCATTGCCATTTTCTGTTTTCGCTATAAATGATAATCATGCCTACGCTCACATTTGCTAGTGCAATCCTCGCTACCTCGATACATTCCACCGGTAAGGTAACACAATTGAGTCCGCAACGCAGTTCTGTTCTCATTAGTATTATTATCGCTACGTGCTGTTGTCAATGCATCAACCTCATGAATGGTACGCTCGGAAAACTAGAGAAACCAGTTTTGACACTAGTTCTGTACATTTTCTTAGTGTACTGGGGGCCCTTATGGTAGCTGATGTCATTGTTGCGTCTGTTGATGTTCTCATCCGAGTGTAACAATAGTCATAGAACCTCATGAGCCTTGCCGTAATATCGGTTGATGTAGTTGGCCTGCAGATGGATGAAATATGTGGGAGCAATGAAGCAGCCATTACGTAAACACAAAGGAGAAAGGAGTGGGGGAGAGTTTAAGAGGATGATAAGGAAGCAGATGTTGAGAAAATTTGAGCATGCAGAGCAGATGGTGATACTTGTTGGGTGGGAGTGGAAACCACAACCCACATTTCAACACAAGCCGTTTCAAATCGAACCACAGGTCGAACATCACCAACATAATGAGCTTTTAGAAGAAACATGGTGGACTCGACATTATCAGAAAACAAAGACCACATAATGTAGACAAGCCACATGGACAGATATATGCAGTACCTTAAACTCGGAAATGTCGGGTGTGTCTTCGCTGTGCTTGGGGTAGAACTTGAGGAACCTGAGGTTCTTGAGTGCCTCCAGGCGCTCCTCTCCCATGTCCTCTATCGCCTTCTTGCGCTCCTCCCGCTCCTGATGCCACATGCGTTGCACCAAGTGGTGCAGAAATGAAGTGGAGCAAGTTTTTGGAGAAACGAAGTGGAGTGTGTTGCGTGAGTTGAATGCGGGTTGTGCCACAGAAAAGGGGCAAGGAAGTCAATGGATGACCAGGAACGCCATCATCCCGGCAGGCATTCAAAAAGACATGGAAGAACCAGGCGAGCAAAACTATGGACGCCAAGTCATACCAAAGGACTGACACACAGCATCGCAATGATTGCCTCCTTTGTCATCCCGTTCAGAACCACCAAATGCAACACGGAAGTGTTTCGCATAAGCTAACCGTACATCTCATTATCGACGCTCATCTATTACTAGTCAATTCAGTTGAACATGTCATCTTCATTCTTTGCACACATCTTGTGTTTCTCACCTTCTTTGCCTTGAGCTTGGCCTCTTTCACCTCTTTCTTCACATACTCCTGCATAGGTGCACCCACAGTTGAAAGAGACCGGGAAGTAAGAATAAGAATCACTTCAAGAACAGTATATTCGCCTCGTTCACCTCCGCTCAAATTCTCCTGCACAGAAGGACCAACAGTTGGAAACGACATGGGAGAAAGCGGATGGGTTTTCTTGGCCTGAACATGGCAGACTGGTGCACGGGCATGTGGACATGCTGAATGCATGGTATGATACCGTCCCGTACCATATGGTACGGTACGGTACGGTACGGTGCGGTAAGGAATGGTAAGGTAAGGTAAGGTAAGGTAAGGTAAGGTAAGGTAAGGTATGGTATGGTATGGTATGGTATGGTATGGTATGGTATGGTATGGTATGGTATGGTATGGTATGGTATGGTATGTTATGGTATGGTATGGTGTGGTGTAGTGTGGTACGGTACGGTACGGAAGGGTACGGTACGGTACGGTATGGTATGCACAGTGGCGGAAGCACTGACAATGAACTTGGGCTTCTCCGCTTCTGGTAGTGACTCGTCCTTGACCAGGTTGTCTGTGAACTCCTGTGTGGCACCACACGACGTATCCATGTGGAGAGAGGAGGGAGGAGGGAGGAGGGAGGAGGGAGGAGGGAGGAGGGAGGAGGGAGGAGAGAGGAGGGAGGAGGGAGGAGGGAGGAGAGAGGAGAGAGGAGAGAGGAGAGAGGAGGGAGGAGGGAGGAGTGAGGAGAGAGGAGAGAGGAGAGAGGAGAGAGGAGAGAGGAGAGGGGAGAGGGGAGAGGGGAGGGAGGAGGGAGGAGGGAGGAGGGAGGAGGGAGGAGGGAGGAGGGAGGAGGGAGGAGGGAGGAGGGAGGAGGGAGGAGGGAGGAGGGAGGAGGGAGGAGGGAGGAGGGAGGAGGGAGGAGGAGGAGGGAGGAGGGAGGAGAGAGGAGGGAGGAGGGAGGAGTGAGGAGAGAGGAGAGAGGAGGGAGGAGAGAGGAGGGAGGAGGGAGGAGGGAGGAGGGAGGAGGGAGGAGAGAGGAGGGAGGAGGGAGGAGTGAGGAGAGAGGAGAGAGGAGGGAGGAGAGAGGAGGGAGGAGGGAGGAGGGAGGAGGGAGGAGGGAGGAGGGAGGAGAGAGGAGGGAGGAGGGAGGAGTGAGGAGAGAGGAGAGAGGAGAGAGGAGAGAGGAGAGAGGAGAGGGGAGAGGGGAGAGGGGAGAGGGGAGGGAGGAGGTTGATGACTGTGCTGGTCTTCCACACCACACCACCCAAGGTCAACACCACCCTCAGCACCGAGGTCAGTCTTACATACACTCCCACTCTCACACCCACCCACCCACACACGAACCCATCCATCCCCCCCCACGCACACACCAACACCCCCCCTTCCCCCCCCTTCCCCCCCAACACACAGGCACAGGCACAGGCAGAGGCACAAGCACAGAGACGCGCTCACCTCGTACTCGTCCATCTCCCAGTCATACTCCGCCAGCAGCTGCCAGCGAGGGGAGAGTGTGTGTGCCACAGGGAGTGTAAGAAAGTGTGTGCGGAAGGGCATTTCCGGGAGTGTGAGAGACAGTGTGCAAGACAGGGCAATGCGGGGAGGCGGGGGGGAGGGGAGAGAGAGACGATGATGATGGAGAGCAGCAGGTGGTGGATTGGTGAGAGGGAGGAACACTAGAGAGGGAGGAACACAAGAGAGGGAGAAACACAAGAGAGGGAGAAACACAAGAGAGGGAGAAACACAAGAAAGGGAGAAACGTACAAAAAAGGCGAGTCATTAGTGCAGAGCCAAAAAGCTCACCCAGTAATCTCAGAAGAGGAGCAGAACAGGCTCGCTCACAAATAAAAGCTAACGAGGAGGGAGGTGGTTACCGGGGGAGGTGGTTACTGGGGGAGGTAATTACCGGGGGAGGTGATTACTGGGGGAGGTAATTACCGGGGGAGGTGGTTACCGGGGGAGGTGGTTACCGGGGGAGGAGGGTTGTCTCCTTCGAAGGGGTACATGATGGACACGACGGTGTCCACCTCCTGCTCCTCCTGCATGTGCGGCAGGAAGATGTCTGATGGGGTCGCGCGGGGAGGGGAGGAAGTGGGGGAGAGAGAGGGAGGAGGGAATATTTTAAAAATTGGGACGACTGTGTCCGTCTTCTGCTCCTGCAGCATGTGCGGCAGGACGATGTCTGATGGGGAATGGAGGAAAAGGGAAAGGGTGGGAGGGAGAGGGGAAGGGGGAGGTGGGAGAGCATGCAGTGCAGACGTAGATGACTGAGTCCTCCTCCTGCATGTGCGGTAGGAAGGTGCCTAATGGGGAGAGGGTGAGGGCCTAAGAAGTCTAAGGGCAGGTCTAGCAACACGTTGTAACCATGTGGTAACCAGGTGACCATCATGCACGCACGTACATGGTAAGCAGTACTCAAACTTCTTCACCCGTTCTTGCTTCATCTGCCTCAAACCCGCCCTGCAGCACACAGCACGCAGAGCAGACAGAGAGAGTGCAAGAGTTGCTAAGGGAAGAGAGGTGGAGTACAGTACTTGTACGGCAGTGCTTGTACGGCAGTGCTTGTACGGCAGTGCTTGTACGGCAGCGAGTGGAACTTTATTCTTCTGGTGGAGAGGTGGATCTGGTTAGAAGCACGCTCTTGGGCTTGTGTGCCAGCTTGAGAACGAGATTAACAGGAGATGAACGGGGAGAGAGCAGTGCCACATGCGCTAGTCAAGATGAACGGGGAGAGAGCAGTGCCACATGCGCTAGTCAAGATGAACGGGGAGAGAGCAGTGCCACATGCGCTAGTCAAGATGAGGGGGACGGGAGCAGGAAAGGATACAACTTGGAGGGGATCACAACGCGCTCGGGTAAAGAAGGAAAGCAGTTGCTCAATTTAGTTGAATGCACGCAAGAGGTAAGAGAGCTCACCCTCGTTGAGAGAACTTGCAAGTGAGGAAATCCCGTTGGTTGGGAGCAGTTGAAAGTGAAGAGACCTTACCTTCGTTGTATGCACTTGAGAGTGAATATATTCGACCGATGCCGCCTCAGATCAGAACCTCGGCTGCAACATAGATGGCACACGGAATGGCACATGGCATGGGACATTAGATGGGTGGCACGTGGGATGGGACATTAGATGGATGGCACGTGGGATGGGACATTAGATGGATGGCACGTGGGATGGGACATTAGATGGATGGCACGTGGGATGGGACAATGGATGGCATGTGGGATGGGACAACGGTCGGAGCCACCCCTCTCTCCGTCTATTCCTCTTCTCCCCTCCCTCCACCCCCTCTCCCCTCCTCCACCCCTCTCCCCTCCTCCACCCCCTCTCCCCTCCCTCCACCCCCTCTCCCCTCCCTCCACCCCCTCTCCCCTCCCCTTCACTCTTCTCCAGCTCCACCCCCCTTCCCCCTTACTCTTCACGACCTCCTCGCGTCCGCACTTCTCTCTCCTCCGCACTCGCCCCCATCACTCACCGATTACCGGAGAAGAGAAAGACCCGGTCCATCTTCCTCCACTGCATCACCACCATCTCTTCGCTCTCAACATCCTACCGCCCTTCCCCCTCGCTCTTTCCTGCGCTCGCCCATTGCCCTTCCCCCTCGCTCTTTCCTGCGCTCGCCCGTTGCCCTTCCCCCTCGCTCTTTCCTGCGCACGCCCATTGCCCTTCCCCCTCGCTCTTTCCTGCGCTCGCCCATTGCCCTTCCCCCTCGCTCTTTCCTGCGCTCGCCCATTGCCCTTCCCCCTCGCTCTTTCCTGCGCGCGCCCATTGCCCTTCCCCCTCGCTCTTTCCTGCGCTCGCCCATTGCCCTTCCCCCTCGCTCTTTCCTGCGCTCGCCCATTGCCCTTCCCCCTCGCTCTTTCCTGCGCTCGCCCATTGCCCTTCCCCCTCGCTCTTTCCTGCGCTCGCCAATTGCCCTTCCCCCTCGCTCTTTCCTGCGCTCGCCCATTGCCCTTCCCCCTCGCTCTTTCCTGCGCTCGCCCATTGCCCTTCCCCCTCGCTCTTTCCTGCGCTCGCCCATTGCCCTTCCCCCTCGCTCTTTCCTGCGCTCGCCCATTGCCCTCCACCCGATAAGCTAACGCTCAGCCACATATAGGGACACAGTCCATCTTCATCTCTATATGGGGTGATGCATAATCACCTCCACCCTACCCTCCTCTCTCCTCGCTCGCTGCTCGCCTCTCTCCTTCGCCCATCATGTGACCACCCGTCCCCGCTGTGAGCACACGCACCCAGTGGTGTCGGGTATGTAGGGGATCCAGTCCATCTTCATCTCCCTCATCGGCACGATCATCTCTGTCTCCATCTGCACAGATTTGATTCCCAGCTTGTCTGACGGGGCGAACGGTGACAGCACCTGGTGGGGAGCAGCGGGGAGCAGTGGGGAGCGGTGAAAAGAGGTGAGATAAGCGGTAGGCAGGATCGTTTCTGTCTCATCTGCACTGGCTTGATGCCCAGCTTGTCTGACGGGGCGAATGGTGACAGCACCTGGTGGGGAGCGGTTGGGACCTGCGGAGAGCGGTGAAAAGAGGTGGGATGTTGTGGATAAGCAGTAAGCACAATCATTAGTTTTTATTTGCCCTAACTCGATACCCAGCTTGACGGTGGGAACGCCTGGTGGGAAGCGATTGGGAGTAGTGGAGAGGGGTGGAAAATATCTGAAGCAGTCAAGAAGCAGTAAGCAGCAAGCAACACCTCTGTCTCTATATGCACCGACTAGACACGTAGCTTGGTGCGGTACGACATACGAGAAAATAAGGAGAGGGTACGGAGGTGGGGTACGAAGGAAAGAGAGGGGTAGGAGGTATGGTAGCAGGGAAAGGAAGAGCGGGGGAGGGGAAAAGGGGGGGCAAGGGTTTGACATGTGTGCATACGTACAGGCATGCACGCATTGTTGGCCCGTAAATCATGAAAACATAACCCCTTCAAATGTACAACAACACGAAACGCTGAATGAACGGGAAACCTTGAACCCTACACCCAAGCCCAACGGTGTACCCAGAACCCTGAACCCTATCACAAACCCCAACTCTCAACGTTAAGGCAGCACGTACCGCCACGACTGCTGGCACGTACCGCCACGACTGCTGGCACGTACCGCCACGACTGCTGGCACGTACCGCCACGACTGCTGGCACGTGCACCACCCTGTCCTTGCCCTTCCAGTGCATCTTGATTGCCCCCATGGCACTTTCATATGCTCATACGACCATGATGCATGCATGCACGTACCGCCACGACTGCTGGCACGTGCACCACCTTGTCCTTGCCCTTCCAGTGCACCAGCTGCGCTGCAGTGGGCCACAGGGCATCACGCACGGCATGGGGATGGCGGCGAAAAAAACTGTTTTTGAGTCGAGGCAGTGGGATGGTTGATGGATGAGGACAGGTTTGGTTGATGGATGAGGACAGGTTTGGTTGATGGATGAGGACAGGTTTGGTTGATGGATGAGGACAGGTTTGGTTGATGGATGAGGACAGGTTTGGTTGATGGATGAGGACAGGTTTGGTTAATGGATGAGGACAGGTTTGGTTGATGGATGAGGACAGATTTGGTTAATGGATGAGGACAGGTTTGGTTGATGGATGAGGACAGGTTTGGTTGATGGATGAGGACAGGTTTGGTTAATGGATGAGGACAGGTTTGGAGGATGGACTGCGTGAGGAAAGAGGCTTCACGGAAAGCTGCCCGGAAGATTCATGAGGAGGAAAATCTTTGTAAAACACATCAGACGGGGCATGTGAAACATAGGAGGTTTGCTTTAAAAAAAAAGGGGAATCCAGGATTATGGGGTCCAGCTATGGTGTTCTTTCTTTGCTATTGATTCCATCCACTTTTAAGACGTTTCAAGGGAAGGAAGGGCACGTCCAGGAATGGCACGTCCAGGAATGGCACGTCCAGGAATGGCACACCCAGAATCTCGGGTTCCCAAATACACTCTCTTTTCTTTCCTTCATTCTTCTCCGTCCGCACCATTCTGGGCGATTCAATGATCGTACTGCTGCGAGCGTTTCATCCCACATGATTCCCTAAGAGTTTCAACTCACGTTCTGTGCATCCAAAGAGGTATACCCTCTTGTCGTGCAGCGGTCCTCCCTCGTCAAACGCCTCCTGAGCCACGGAGAAGGTTCACCCAAGCAAGGGGAGGGATAGGCAGAGGGGGAAGACAGGGAGAGGGGGGGTTACTGAGAAACATATCAAAAGCGACTCCAAATTGGTGTGCAGCAGCTCTTGCTCCGTAGTCAAATAGAGAGGGCTGCTATTGCTTCCCAGGAATATGAGCCTCAACCTTCCCACTCACGCTTGTGGCCAGAAGCTGGCACCAAGACTGAGGTGCGCGAGAGGGTGTGCTTCTTGAGAGAGCGAGGTGCAATGTGCTTACATCGAGGTTTGAGAAGTCCCACTCGATCTCGTACACTTTGTCGTATTGGTCCCACTGCCAGAGAGAGTGCAGCAACACGAGGGGATGGGGAAGGCATGGGGGAGGGGAAGAGGAGAGGGAGGTAAGAATGTGATGGAGGATAGCGGTTAGAAGAAGCACATAGGCTGCTAAGGGCGCACAGAATGACCTAGAAAATACCTCATGATCGGAGGTAGAAAAGCCAGGGTACATTGTGAACATGATCTATATCTAAGTTTCACGAGCTACTTTGAAGCTGGGACATTTTGCATCGCGAACAAGAGAAACTGTCCAAAGATTGCTTCAGCCTTCCGAAGAACCTTCGCAGAAAAATAAACGATAGAAATAAAGTGGACGGTGTGCTGAGGTACATCAGTCGGAATAATTACCTCCGTGCCGACCGGAAATGCTTCCTTCCAAATATCTTCCTGAAAGGCGGTAAGACGACGGCAGGGTCAGCTACTATTAAGAAACGGGGAATTAGAGACACAGGCAGTGGCAACCGCGTGGATCGGTGGGCAGGTGCATGAAACCAAAACTCATCGCACGACCGAAATCGCAAGACCAGCGGTGAACGAGAGAAAGAGCGACTGCGAAAACGAAGGATCATATCATTCTCGCGGTAATGCGAGTTCGTCTAGACCACGGAGAGCTCACCATCTCTGCCATTGCTGCAGATCCGGTGCACGATCACTCGCCCGAGCTGAACAACGGGTTTGCGGGAACGTCGAAATGTGAACGCGAAATGTCGCTCAATCGCACAATAATAAAACTGGATATGATTAACAACGAGCTCGTTATAACCGAGGGTACTGAGAGAGTACCACAGTCATACAATGAAAAGACGAAGAACTACAGATATGTCAGATCCAGACCACAATTCTGAAAGCAGACCAGGAGGAGTGGAGATGTGGGGTGAAGTGAACGACCACCGTGTGGGCTCAGGCTGCTAGGGTTGCTCACCCTGCTGCAGCGCAGCAGACGAGCAGCCTTGAATGAAAAGTTCACAACTCGAGTTTTGGCGGGAAACTGAAGGGTTGAAGGTGGGAGTGTCAGAAGATATACTCTTTGAGTTCGCAGCTGTTACACTTTCGAACGCGATTACGAGTGACCAGCAAGGGTGCACTTTGGGGGGGGTGGACCCCAAAGGTTTATCACTTGGGTTGGCTGGTTACCTGGTTTGGTGTTGGGAGTACACCCAGTTATTCGTTTATCTCACCGAGCGCGTTTCGGTCGGAGGTGCTTGTCCTTTTCGCCCGGTGCTTTTAACGTCTGCGAGTCACATTTTCCTGCGTATTGCCGTCCCTTGCTCCCAAAATGTGGCTATAAATACGTTTTTGGAACTGTAGGCCGGCCTGACCTAATCATGACTAATAAATTTGGCTTCGTCTTTAGCGCGAATGCGTGTTACTGTAGTGTTCTGCCACCAAATTTCTTCGGCCATTTTCAGGTGTATGCCGTTTAGTCAAGGCGCGTTATTCAGGTGTATGCCAGGTTGTTTACACGTTTCTCAGGTTAAATTATGTCTCTCGTAATTTCACATATTGTTCAGGATTCGATTATATTTGGCACAAAAGGTATGAAAGAGACAAAATTTCGGGCTACGCAAATCGGGATCGGAATGGTTGGCTCTCGATGCTTCATTTTCTGACGTCACTCAGTGCAATGATTGCATTTCTTCCCAATTTTTCACGCAAATTTTTACTTCGCACCAAATCTTTTCGAACGAATCTAATGCTAGATCTGTTGTACTGTTGACGCAGATGACGGACGCTGCGCATGACAAATCAGCAAACCGTTCGTGAGTGTTTGTAAATTATTGTCTCTACCAAAAAATGTTTTGCCGTACATGTATATTGGAAAAGGTGGTGTGCCATGGCGTTAATCATGTGTCATTGAATATACATGTAACGTACGATATATCCTTAATAGCCGTAGGGGTAACTCCCTCTAACACTCGGCATCTTTCTCGTGTTTCGGATTACCCTTTCCAAAGAATGCACGTCCCGCTAGGGTTTGCAGGTTTGACCCGCGAAGCGTCCGCCACTTGCGCCATGAGTACAACGATTTACCATTACAATTCGTTTAAAAAGAGTTGGTGCGAAGCAAAAATTTGCGTAGAAATTGGGCAGAAATACAATCATTGCACTGAGTGACGTCAGAAAATGAAGCATCGAGAGCCAACCATTCCGATCCCGATTTGCGTAGCCCGAAATTTCATCTATTTCAGACCTTTTGTGCCAAATTTAATTGAATCATGAATAATGCGTAAAATTACGAGAGACATAATTTAGCCTGAGAAACGTGTAAGCAACCTGGCATACACCTAAATAACGCGCCTCGACTAAACGGCATACACCTGAAAATGGCCGAAATTTCTTCGACGTTTAGCAATTCAATGCTGAATTGATCACGCGTGTGAATCGATTCTATGTGACATAAACGCATCGCTCCCAACCTTCCATGTGAACGTACCGAGCCGGTGGTACAATCGCGGGTGCATCAAACGAATAAGTGGGTGTACGAAGCGAACAAGGTGTCAGATTATTATATAGCTGATGCATGTTATGTAGGCTGTAGTGGGGTAGCACATAAGGGGTACAACCCAATTAGGGTTGGTACTTGTTGTCAGAACATATAGCTTACTTCTTTCTGTAGGCCATAGTGGGGTATCCCATAGGGGGTACAAACCAATTAGGGTTTCCTATTTGTACTCACTTCGTTCATAGTCATTCCATTCTCGTTCTTTGTTTCCACATGGAATCAGAGCAGGTTCTCTCCTAGGGACTGCTTCTAGGGCCCACCGAACCGCGCCCCGAGGCGCGTTTTTTTTTTTAGCGACCCGTCGTGTCGCCCCTAGCGGACCGTTGCGCCGCCCTTCCCCTCGCGGCTCCGCCGCCCTTCCCTAGCGGCCCCACCGCCCTTCGATCGCGGCCCCGCCGCCCTCTGCTACGCGGCCCCGCCGCCGCCCTTCGATCGCGGCCCCGCCGCCCTCGGCTACGCGGCCCCGCCGCCCTCTGCCTCGCGGCCCCGCCGCCCTCTGCTATGCGGCCCCGCCGCCCTCTGCTACGCGGCCCCGCCGCCCTCTGCTACGCGGCCCCGCCGCCCTTCGATCGCGGCCCCGCCGCCCTTTGCCACGCGGCCCCGCCGCCCTCTGCTACGCGGCCCCGCCGCTCTCTGCTACGCGGCCCCGCCGCCCTTCGATCGCGGCCCCGCCGCCCTCTGCTACGCGGCCCCGCCGCCCTCTGCTACGCGGCCCCGCCGCCCCCTGCTACGCGGCCCCGCCGCTCTCTTCGGTAGCGGCCCCGCCGCCCTCTGCTACGCGGCCCCGCCGCCCTCTGCTACGCGGCCCCGCCGCCCTCTGCTACGCGGCCCCGCCGCTCTCTTCGGTCGCGGCCCCGCCGCCACTCTGCTACGCGGCCCCGCCGATCCGCCCAGCAGCAGCCGCCGCCGCCTGAGCCACCGCCGAGCCGCCGCCGAGCCGCCGCCGAGCTGCCGCCGAGCCGCCGCCGAGCTGCCGCCGAGCCGCCGCCGAACCGCCGCCCGAGCCGCCGCCGAGCCGCCCGTGCCGCCCGAGCCGCCGCCGAGCCGCCCGTGACGCCCGAGCCGCCCGCGCCGCCCAGCAGCAGCCGAGCCGCCGCCGAGCCGCCGCAGCCTGAGCCGCCGCCGAGCCGCCGCCGAGTCGCCGCCGAGCCGCCACCGAGCCGCCGCCCGAGCCGCCGCCGAGCCGCCCGTGCCGCCCGAGCCGCCCGCGCCGCCCGAGCCGCCTGCGGAGCCGTGCTGCTGTTCCTCTGCTGCTGACCTACCCGCCTCTCCCAGCCCGGTGAGATTTTCAGCTGCTGTCATGGCCACCCCCAATGTTCTTACCTTTGACACTGAGGGGAGGGCCATTGACTTTGCCGTCTGGATTGAAGACCTGCAGCTGTATTTACTGTGTGATGCGATAGATGAGGTCTCTCTCTTTGACTTTGTCTCTGGCGCTGTCCCTGCCCCACCTGCTGATGCTGACTCTGCCGTTCGCTCCAAGTGGGCGACCCGCGATGCTGCTGCACGTCTTGCTGTGCGTCGCCACCTCCCTTCCTCCGAGCGTGCCCACTTTAGTCAGTGCAAGACCGCTCAGGCCTTGTACGACGCTGTAGTTGCACGCTACTCCTCCCCTTCCTCCGCTACCCTTAGCCGCCTCATGCTACCGTTTCTCTTCCCTGACCTCGCTTCCTTTCCCACTGTCACTGACCTCGTTACCCACCTCCGTGCTAGTGACACCCGCTACCGCGCTGCCCTTCCTGCTGAGTTCCGCGCTGCGAACCCTCCTCCCATGTACATCACTCTCTACTTTCTCGTCACCCGTCTCCCTGAGTCCCTTCGTGTCGTTAGGGACCAGTTTCTCTCTGTCTGTCCCACCACTCTCACTGTCGACCTCCTTGAGGAGTCCCTGCTAGCGGCTGAGAAGAGTATTGTCGCTGTAGGGGCCTCTCGGGGTGACCCTTGCACCCCCATCTTTGAGGGGTGTGGTCCTTCCCCCCTGCTGCCCTCTGTCGCCTCTGCCGCTGCGGCCGACCTCACTGGTTTTGAGTCGGTCGGCGCGGCGTCTGCCCCCAGCGGCAGACGCCGCGCTGGCAAGGGCAAGGGGGGCAAGGGAGCGGGTGGAGCTAGAGGGGGCGGTGGAGGAGGCGGTGGGGGTGGCGGGGGGAGTGGGGGTGGCGGTGGGGGTGGTGGCGGGAGTGGAGGTACTGGTGGCGGCGGTGGAGGCGGAGGTGGCGGCGGAGGTGGTAGCGGAGGAGGCGGTGGGAGCGGTGGGAGCGACGGTCCTGGTGGGGGAGGTGGAGGTGGAGACGGGGGTGGCGGTGGAGGCGGGGGTGGCAGTGGAGGCGGGGGTCGGAGTGGCTCGTCCCAGCGGAGCAGCTCCGGGGGTGGTCAGCGCCAGCAGCAGCAGCAGCAGCAGCCGCAGCAGCAGCCACAGCAGCAGCAGCGCTCTCGCACCGTCCCCGCCCCTCAGCAGCTCCGTGAGTGGTACTCGCAGCGTCAGCGTGGTGGTGCGCTTGGTCCTTGCCCCTACGTTCTCCGCACCGGTGACCGTGCAGGGGAGAGGTGTGGAGGCGCCCACACTGCCCGCCGCTGCTTTGGCCGCCTGACTGACGCCTGGCGTCAGCAGTTTCCGGAGGCAGCTGAGATCCCCCGCTGGGGAGAGCTGTCTAGGGCTGGTGTAGCTATTTATGATCTTGATTTTGATGCTATTCTCTCTGCTATGTATGCTGCGATTGGTAGTGATGAGGATGACTGTTACCGGTGTTTCCCGCCCGACCCGGGCATTGGTACTGCCGCGTCAGGTACTAGTGAGGCTGCTGCTCTAGGTGCCAGTGCGTCTGTGCTCTCAGGTGCTGGTGAGTCTGCCCTCTCAGGTACTGTGTCGGCTTCGGCCTCTCACACC